TTCTTTCTTTTTAGAGAACTAGGTTTCTTCTAGCCAGTATTGTCTGTGTAGAAGATTGGGCAGAAGAAAGATGATGGGAAGTGAAAATCAGTAAATATAATTTTTAAAAAATTGTTTGTTACAAAACAAAAATGTCAGTCTATTATATTTCATACTTATTCATCTTTAGCTCCCTTTTCTGAATTCCCAGATGTCAAAACACAGGGGTCCTAATTTGATACACATTACATCTTTTACATGCCTCACCTTGTATTCTCAATGATATCTACCTCATTCTTACCTTTCCTTGCTTTGAAACAAAACAAACTGATCCCATCTTAAACACACTAAGAATCTTGAATAATTCACTATCCAAACAAAGTTTTGTCAGAAATGTTTCATCTGAATTAAGAAAGTCATAAAAGAAGAGTAAAGATATACTCAAGTTTATTCCAAGTTTCCAGTCACCTTGAAAAGTATCCCTGTGCTTTGATTATTATTTGCATAGTCAATCAATCATCTGACCATGTACTCACCATGACAAAATTCATAACTAACAAACATCCACCTACAAGAAGATGTTCTTGTGCTACCTTTGACATTGAAACATGGCCCACAAGAAACAGGATTAATTACAAGCTCAAGACCACAGCTGCCAAAACCAGGTGCAGAAAGCAAAGTTTATCTTCCATACAGTAGCCAGAATAATGTTTTCAGAACTTTCAGATGATGTCATTTTCCTGCTCTCATCTTCCCTGTGGGAAGATTTCCCATCTCATAATAAATTCTTCTGACCTTATCTTATCCCACTAACCTCATCTTCCCACTCTGACCTCATCTTGTAACTCTTTCTTACTTGTCTGCTCTGCTCCTGTCACACAGGCCGGGCTGCCAAATCTTTCAGTCAGCAACTCTGCTCCCACCTTCGGGCCTTTGCCCTGGCTGGACCCTCTCTGCTTTGTGCACTCTCTGCAGATGACAGAGTGGCTCACCTCTTTTCCATCCAAAACTCTCATTAGAGAGGCCATCCATAATATGCCTCCTGTTTCTCAAATCATGACTGTATTCCCTCCCCTTGCATAATGTTTCTTCCAGCACTTAGCCCAGGTTCTACATGGCATGTTTATTTTTCACTGGCCAGGCAGATATCCCCCCTAGAATACAAGCTCCATGTAGACAGGCACTTTGTTATGTGCACACAGAGAATGGTGTGTGACATAAAATAGATACTTCACAAGAATTTGTTAACTCAAGTCTATTAAAACAACCAAATCCTTCCATACTTCATTCAGAAATTGTATTAAACATGAACTCATTTCACATGATTTCTTTTTTCTTTCACCAAGATGATTTTACCCTGCCTACATGATGACAAAATTGTACTTTAGTCATAACATTATGTAGCTTTAAATTACCTGGTCAGTCACATTTGTCTTAACTTACCTTTAAAAAAATAAAATATCTACTTCCATATAATTTAAATGATAATTTACATTAAAATGCACTAATCTTATATAATTTTATTTATCATCATCATGTCTCCATTATGTTAACTTTACTTATTATTGCACCAGAATTATTCTACGATAAGAACATAGTAAAAAGATTATATCACAATGCATTAAGACAGCTTAAACTAAAATAACCTCCCAAATTAAACACATTAAAATAAAACTGTGCTCTATAATACTGATTTGACTTCCAAGACCACTATCTTATTATGGCTAGCAATTATAATATTTTACTTTATCCACTCCCTGTACACCACACATCTTTTCTACAACTCACTCAATTTATTGATGGATAGGATAAACCCCAATTAATTGAGATATATGATAAAATATTGAGAAGAAAAATATCATCTTATGCTTTCAACCTAAATGGAATGAGAACCATACCTGAACTTTACTCATTTATCCACTGCTATGATCTTTAGTAAAACAACTCAGAAATTGTAAAACATCTGTAGTTTTATATAATTTTAGCTCATAGATCTATTCTTAACATAATAATTTTCATTCCAAGTCTAACTGAAAAAATGATTAATTCAGTATCATACAAATATAGAGAATAGTCTTCTATACATTATCTCAGACGTTATTTCATTCTGACCTAAGGATCTAGTCAGGGATCTAGGTAAAAATACATACATTTCAATTTCATGACTGCAATGGCTTTAATATCTAATTTTCATTCACTGTGTTTTGCAAAATAACCACCTAAATCGTTCTGCATTTTAAGCATTATAACCTTGGTTCCACCCCTCTCTTCTTGAGCTACTTAACTGAAGACTCAACTAAGAAGGATGAACTTGTAGCAATTGAGAGTAGAATGGTTGTTGGCAGGCAGACGCTGAGGATAGCAGGTGGAGGGAGTGATGAAGAAAGTGTCACTAATGGATATGATGTTAGAGGGTTAGGAGTAGGAAGTTCTGGTGTTCTACTGCACAGCAGGGTAGCTATAGATAATATATATCTATATCTATATCTATATCTATCTATCTATATATCGTGTGTATGTGTGTGTGTATTTAGAAGCTAGAAAAAGGGATTCTGAATGCTTTTATCATAAATAATTGACAAGTATCCAATAATGGGGAAATGGCTAAATTATGAGAAAGCCACAGAATGGAATAATATGCAGACATTAAATATGTTCATAAAGCTTATACAATAATATAAAAATTATTGGTAAAATATTAAGATACAAAGCATATTGCATATTATAAAAATGTCCATCTACTTTAACAAAAGATCTTTACTTACATAAATCTGTGTGAACAATCCTGTTTTCCAGAGTAGAAGTAAAAGCATTAATAAAAGTAATGTCAGTGTTACTACTGAACATTATCACCTCTACTTTTTTAATTAATAGCTTGCAAATAAGTGTACATTTTCTAGAATAATAATGATGGCAAAATCCTTTTGAAAATGCCAGGAGACTTTTTGTTATCATCCTACGGCAGAGATTGACAAATTTTCAGTAAAGCCCCAGATAGTAAATTCCTAGGGCTTAATCATGCATTTAAAAAACAGAATCACTCTAAGCTAGGGGCAATAAATTAAACAAACAGAAATACAGAGGTGGACCAGATTTGGCCCAAAGACTAAAGTTTGTCCAACTGTTCTAAAGTCGTTTTTGATAAATTATTTCAAGATTATATCATTGCTACACCACACTGTCTGGATACACTACTGCCTTTTTTCTTCTGCATCCCATCTTCAAAATGTTACTTAACCTTTAAAACCTTTCTCCAACATGTTCTTCAGGAAAGCTTTCAAGGTGTCCTTAATCAAATGAGATTTCTTTTCCTCTGAAGCTTCATAGCATTTCAAACCTTCTCTAATTTTCCATAATACTACTGAACTTAGTTCAATTATTGGTGTATCAAGCCTTAACATTTTACATGAGGAACCCTCTCTTATACATTTCTTATTGACTACAGTGCTTTATACTAGTAGAAGCATAATAACAGTGTTGAATTGAAAGAGGACTATTCACCACCTTGCATTCCTAGAAGACCCCAGTTTCTTTTAACAGACTAAAAGAAACATAGATATCGAAGATACTCATAAGTTTTTAAAACACAACTGAATTTTCATATGAAAATGTGACAACAAATTTTGTCTTAGAATCAAGAAAAGTGCCCGCCATTGGTAGGGGAGACTTGAACGAGACCTGGAAAAGGACCATGGAACCAATGATAGCACAGGCTGCTCTGTGAGAGCCAGGTATCTGACAGGCACACACTGCGTGCCCACCAGACACAGCTGGGTCCTTCACTGTCCTTCCAAAGTTGAGAAAAGCATCAGACCATCTGTGTGTCTAAGCTCCTGGGGCCTGATCGTCCTGTCACCCCCTATTCTTCCTACATAAATAGCACCATCCTACACAATCAGGAACCCTAGGGACCAAGAAGTACTCAAATCAAGGTGAAGACTTGAAGTGAAGTTTGGGATTTCTTCAGACATTTTCTTATTTTTTATCTAAATCAAAATTCTTTTTTTTTTTTTTTTTTTTTGGACAGGCAGAGTGGACAGTGAGAGAGAGAGAGACAGAGAGGAAGGTCTTCCTTTGCTGTTGGTTCACCCTCCAATGGCCACCTCGGCTGGCGTGGTGTGACCGGCGCACCGCGCTGATCTGCTGGCAGGAGCCAGGTACTTATCCTGGTCTCCCATGCGGGTGCAGGGCCCAAGCACCTGGGCCATCCTCCACTGCACTCCCTGGCCACAGCAGAGAGCTGGCCTGGAAGAGGGGCAACCGGGACAGAATCCAGCGTCCCGACCGGGACTAGAATCCAGTGTGCCAGCGCCGCAAGGTGGAGGATTAGCCTAGTGAGCCGTGGCGCCGGCTAAATCAAAATTCTTATTACATGGTTACAACAAGAAGTCTTCAGAAACCAGGGAACCATTCTACTCAAATTCAAATCCCAGAAATGCCCTTGTTAGCTGTTTAATCCTTGGCAACTGACTTAACTTATTCAAGCCATGAGTTTTTAAACCCTTAAAAAAGAGAAGACAATAATAGAATGTAGCTCATGGAGACACTGGGCTATTCTGAGAACACAATGAGTTAGTAGTATATGTAAGTGTTTAGAACTGTGCCTGGAACACAGTAAGTACTTATCAGCGTTAGCCATGTATATATTCAAACACATATACAGCCAAGAACAAAGAACATTGCTAGTACTAAATAACCTCTAAAAAGTCACACATACCCTTAACATTAGACATATTTGGGTTTTATTTTATTCTTGAGATAGATTTACCATAGGAAGGAATTTACAGAAAATAGGAAACAGACTATACAAGAATTATCAAGTAAGTTTTAAAAATGCAATAGAAGGAAAACAGCAAGCTGCAAATCCACATATGATTATGTGACAATGAAAGAAACAAGGAAACTGTTGAATCCTCCAGCATGAGCACAATAGTATTTCCTGAGCATTGGCAGAATGCAATGACCAGAATCAGCTTCCATGCATGGGTACAATGGCAAATCAGCTCAGTGGTCATACTTACCGCCTCCCTGCACCTCAGGGAGACCTGCCTTTTTGACCCACTCGTTAGCAGTGCTTCCTTCCCAAAGCTTACTCTTCTCTTCCTTTGCTTCCTTGGAAACATGCTTCTCTGACTTCTCAGATAAACTGTCTGCAACCTCTCGAGTTCCTTTCTCCATTTTTTCTTCAAGAACATTCTCAAAGCTTTCCTGTATTGGTAGAGGTGAGGTCTCCACATCTGATTCTTCTATTTGCTGGTCTTCAATTTTAACTTCTAAGGGTTCTGTAACAGGAAGGGGGGATTGCCCTCGCTCCTCACTTTCACTCAGCTCCTGAGAAGACGAACTGGCACCTTCATCTGCACTGTTTTCACCATGGGCTTCCCTGTCCTCTACTGCAGATTCATCTTCACTGTCACCAGAATACGTGTGACTTCTGGATGAGGCTGATGAAGCAGTTTTTATATCTATAAAACATACACATGATAACATCATCATTGGCCCCAGAACAATTGTTTTAATTTTGAAAATTACATTCATAATTAAACATAGTAAAAATTTTAAAGTGTAACTTAGTAAATTTTATATACTTTTCCAAAATATTCTACATAATTGTCATAATAAGGAATAATCTACATGTTTGACTCTGTAGAAGTTTTTAATAGGAGATAACATTTAACTGTCTATTAACTAGTGTCTTGATTTTTTTGTTTGAAAGCCACTTTATTGGAAAACATTTGTAAATATCTACTTTGTTACATAAAAAAGAATTATCTTTTTCTTGTGCAAAGACAGTTATTAGCTATCTCTTTGTATAATCACAGTATTGTCTGTGCAAGAACCATAAATGTTGATCTACTATAATATCCACCATACTAATTCAACCTGATATTTGGACATTTGCACAGTACCAAGATGCTGTATCATACTTTTAAATGATGCTTGTGTGTGTATGTAGAATGCTTTTGTCTTACTTGAAGTTCTCCAAAAGTAGATGCTAAGATGAAGATTCATAAGCAAGTGCTGAATTAAGGATGTGTTTCAGAGAAACTCTTAAGGGAACGCAGGAAGCAAGGCAAGGAAGGGAAGAAGTCAATTGAGGGAGCTACTTCAAACATCTCAATCTCAGTCTGCTACCACAAGGACCTCTAAAGTGGAAGTTATATTTATAAGGGTGCAATTTATATTAGGTAGGAGCTGTTGTTGCATATTTTAGACCAGTCAGACAATGACTATGAGCTACCTCAGGGGGACGTAAACTCCCTGGAACTTCAAGAATCTTTGTGTCTAGGGTAAGCTACTCCAGTAGCCCAGGGAAGTTGTCTGAAGAAGGTGGAGGGTGCAGAGCGCTGGAGAGGGAGTTGGGGAAAGAGATTTGGGGAGATTTGGGAGTACATTGAGGCATCGCCAGATACGTGGCCTCAGAATTTACATTACTCGGAAGTGCTATGTATTACCTAAAACTGTCCTTGACAATGAAGCATCATCTGAATCTAAGGAAGCTGTACCACTTAAAATTCACTGTACACAGTGCCGTGGGCCAAAGAAATACATACTTGTTTCTGCTGTTTTAACCAACAGATCTGCGTTTATAATTGTTTCTTGTAGATAACTTTCAAATGTAATAGGCTACACTTAAATGCTGCCTCGCTTTCTTGTTTTCTTGTGCTCTTACTCTTTTTGTTCCTTTTATTTCTGTGTTGTGGTTTCACAGATGGCTTCGGCAGCTAATGCAGAGTGTAAGGGAAGAAATACCTGTCTTTACTCTAATCCTCCTTTCTCCATCCCTCCAGCCTGCTGGCTCTCGCTGACAGGTTTTAGCATTTTAAGTATAGTCTCAGAGACATATCAGAGTTTCCACAAAGATTCAAGAGATGCTACACAGCAGTAAAAACAAACTCGAAAAAATCCTTTAAGCAACAGAACCCCTCAAGTACAATTCCATTTGCTCTTATCTCCTGATACCTTGACAAGTACCAGATGACCAGTATTTTTCACTGAAATCACATACTTTAGCCACTCATTCTTCATTCCCTGTTTTATAAATCTAGATATGCTGTCTCTCTGTAGGAAACATGACAGATCAAGTAAAAGTGTTGTCTTCCTTATTTCTATCAGTTTAGAAACTTTAGAATCTTTGATCTCTTCCTCCCTTGAGCATCTAACATTTGTTTTCTTTCTTTATTAAAGAAACATAAAACTTTGTTTATTAGCAATTTATGCAATGCCTCTCATTAATTACACAGTTAGCTAGGACACTGTGTTATAATTGTTTGGTTTCCAAAAATGTATCTACCATCTGGGTATTGACAAGATGACTCCCACGTTGGGCTTGGAGGGTTGTTCACATAATAAAAAATGAGTACTCTTTTGTCTTTCTTAGTAGCTTCTATTAATTGTATTATTTTATTTCAAGAGGCTGAAACACACTTTGGTTCAATTTTCAGTCAGTCCTTCAGAGAATGATCAGGAGAATGAACGGCCTTGAAGTGGCAAGGGCACCTGACCTACCTTATAAACTCATTTCAGTTTTCAAATTTCAAATTATATCATGGTATAATTTAGTTTCACTCTCATTCTTATTCTCATTTTCATACAGGCACTGGGGTAAGACTTTGCTGACCATAAAGCTTCAAGACCATGGAATGAAATTTTCAAAAACTAATTCTATGTATTCTCTTAGAAATAAAATTTCATACAAAAAAGCTTTCATGTAAAGAAATTTGGAGGGGCAAGTATTTGGCACAGCATGTAAGTCAGCACTTGGGATACCTGAATCCCGTATCAGAGTGCTTGGGTTGGAGTCTCCATTCTGCTCCTCATTCTAGCTTCCTGCTAATGCACACTTGGAGATGCAACAGGGGATGGCTCAAGTATTCGGGTCCCTGGCACTCAAATGAGAGAAACACATGGAATTCTAGGCTTCTGGCTTCAGCCTGGGCAAGCCCCAGCTTCTGCTTAGGGAGTGGACCATAGATGGATGATTGTTCTCTGGCTCGCTCTCTTCTCTGCCTTTCAATATATACAATTTCAATAGATACTTTGAAGGCATATATGTAAAAATTCTTTGTCATTAGAAGGAAAAAACAACCTTAAAGGCATCTTGGAAAACCACTCAGCCCCCTATCTGATTTTATTTGTCCTTTTTGTGTTCCCTCCTGGTTCTCATGCTGAATTAACATACTCTTGATGTTTTTGGTAAAGAAAAGAGCTGACTCATTGCCAGAAGCCTGGACCAAAGACAGGAAGATTGCTGCCATTGTTTTAGTTCTAAACAGGATCTCTTTTTTCTCTCCACATTAAGTCAGACCCTAAATCTTCCTTTTTCATGTCATTTGTAATTATTCTTTCTTCTGCAATACTACAGTTGAAGGCTGAAACAAACCTAAGTATCCCAATCATGGACTCAGCCAGCTATTCATAATAGCTTTGAGTTTGATTATATTACTTAATTCTCTAAATGTACTTGCTCTCCATAAGTCAATGCAGAAATTATGATAAAACAAATTTTTTAATGTTCATTGATTTTTACCCACTTGAAGGGCAAAACCATAAATAGAGAGAGAGAGAGAGTTCTTCCATCTGCTGATTCACTTCCCAAATGCCCGCAACAGCCAGACTGGGCCAGATTGAAGCCAGGAACCAAAAATTCCATCCAGGTCTCCAACTTGATAGCAGGAAACTGGATTGGAAGTGGATGAGTTGGGACTTGAGCCATCCCTCTGATATGGGATATGGCGGTCCCAAGTGATTATTTAACCCACTTTGCCCTAATACTACATTTATCCTACTTAAATAATCATTTATTTTTTAAAAAAGATTTATTTATTTATTTGAAAGGCAGAGTTACATAAAGGCAGGGTGGGGAGAGGGGAGAGAGAGAGAGAGAGAGAGAGAGAGAAGTCTTTCATCTGCTGGTTTACTCAGATGGCCGGAACTGCGCTGATCTGAAGCTGGGAGCCAGAAGCTTCTTCCAGGTCTCCCACACGGGTGCAGGAGCCCAAGGACTTTAAGCCATCTTCCACTGCTTTCCCAGGCCATAGTAGAGAGCTGGCTCAGAAGTGGAGCAGCCAGGACTTGAACCAGCGCCCATATGGGGTGCCGGCACTGCAGGCGGCGGCTTTACCCGCTATGCCACAGTGCTGGCCCAAATGATCATTTATTTATAGTATGAGGCCTTTTTCCCCTTCATGACATCATACATATAGCATAATCTAAAAAATATTTGTCTGTGATCCCTCCATGTGCATTATATTAAGAGTTAGATGACAGTATGCATTTATTGAGGTGAAAAAAAGATGAAAGTTAATCATAACTATGCACCCACTACAGAGCAAACAATGAGGAAAGCACTTCATAAATATACCATTTAATCTTATGGAATAGTTATTATCTTTTTTTAATAGATCCAGAAAGTGAGTACCAAAGAAATTAAATAACAAGCAACATTAGCTATAAAAAGCAAGTGTTATAAAGCATTTCTTTAAAAATTATACTCCATAATAAAACCAAGACTCCTCTACCTGTCATGGACCCACTATTGCTTCTCTTAGTAAACTTTATACTGTTACCACTCAAGGATGACAGATGGGAAATGGTTCTCTCCAAAAGTGGCCATTCTTCATTTTGACCACCATTCTAGAGCCCAGTGGCTGTTTAAAACACTCGGAGAAATGCAATATGAATACAAAGAAAAAAGAGAGCATTCACAAACCTTCCCTGCTTTATTGTAACATTGGCCACGATACTATTTGTATGAAAAGATGTATGTCACTCAATTACTTAACAAATATTTATGGAACACAATGTGTGCATTCACAAAAATTGTGTGTGTATGTGTGTGTGTGTGTATGGTAGTGATCCTCACTTTTAATACAATATTCCCTGGCCGACGCTGCGGCTCACTAGGCTAATCCTCCACCTGTGGTGCTGGCACACCGGGTTCTAGTCCCGGTCAGGGCATCGGTTCTGTCCTGGTTGCTCCTCTTCCAATCTAGCTCTCTGCTGTGGCCCGGGAAGGCAATGGAGGATGGCCCAAGTGCTTGGCCCTGCACCCGCATGGGAGACCAGGAGCAGCACCTGGCTCCTGCCTTTGGATCAGCGCGGTGCACCGGCCGCAGTGGCCATTGAGGGGTGAACCAATGGAAAAGGAAGACCTTTCTCTCTGTCTCTCTATCTCTCACTGTCCACTCTGCCTGTCAAAAAAAAAAAAATACAATATTCCCTGATTGTCAGCTTGATATATGCCTGCCTAGTGCTACCAAACACACACAGATCCATGTCAAAACTGGTCTAACATATTCAGCATGAACTCTGCTCTTCCTCCTCATAACTGAGGCTCTGCATTGTCTTTGTCCTTCATACGCACTTACATAGATTCATTCACTTGCTAAATGCACATTGAGAACCACCTATTTGCTATGCAATGCTCTACAAGAAGAGAAAGTCCAAGTCCCTGCTTCCACAT